GTGGATCAGAAATTACAGAAGCTGCGTCTCGAAGCAAATGTGCAGACAAACCATCTGGGCCAGTGGCTTTATTCACATCAAGGGTAAGCAAGAGCTCTCCCACATTAGCACTAGAGCACATGAGATCTAGTATATCGGAGCCTGAACCATGTAAATGGGCATCCTCATCGACATCAGTGGCTGGGTCAGGGCGGGTAAACACAGACGCAAAAAATTTGCAAAATAACTCTGCTTTGTCCTTGCCAGTAGAAGCCGTGACACCATGATCCGACCATTTCATAGTGACAGGTATTGATTTGCTTTTCGTTTTGGATTTTATAAAAGACCAGAAGCGTTTAGGGTTTTTGGAATCAATTAATGAGTGAACATGTTGGTAATAACTCTTATTAAGTTCTGATTTAACTTTATTCCTTAACGATTTATCTTTATTCAAATCAATGTCAAGCTGGGTAGATTTGGCTTTCTTCCAAAGGCATTTTCTTTTGTGGAATAGCTTGCGTATAAGAATTATTTGTGTTACCAAATAGTTTAGTGTTACCAAAATAATCCTTATAAGTTGCCCAATGTTTTCGCTTCCCCATAACACCCCCACTATAGTTAACAGCAACACTACATGACATGTTGGTATTGGATTTCTCAAAAGCTGTTAACTCTCTCTTTTACAATTTTAGAAAAATACTTTAATCATTGTCTTTTCTGTGCACTTCTTTGCAGTTGTCTCACACAGGTCAACTTCTTCAAGTTCCCTGGAATTCCTTTCATTCTGACCTCCATTTATCTGGCAAGCAGCTTCAAATAGCTCACACCTCTTCTTTCTACCTACAGATGGACTTAAAGCATCCAGGCTTGTTAGGTTCTTTTTACGTTCTTCTAGAGACTTCTTTGGTAGATATCTTCCTTTCTTGCAAGGTGTTGTTACATTGCCCACTAGCTCACTAGTTATCTCTCCTGTCTGCTCTAGCTCTCTAACTACATGTTCAACCTAAATGCAATTACAGTGAAACAACTCAACCTGGGCCACCTAATGTTTCAAGCAAATCACAAGACAACTTCATAGGAAAAGATGTGGAGTTTGTTCATCAGCAGACCAATCACAGCAAGAGACAACTTTAACTGTAAGTTCGAAAATGGCAGATATTTTGTTTTGAAAAAATGTTGGGAGGTCCAGGTTGAGTTCATTTCACTCTAAAAGAAAATTGAAAAAAAACATTGTGGGGTTATGAGTGTTATGCTAGGAGTTATGACGTGCTCTTAACATGCCTATTACACAGTCATATATTACCTTTGTTTCCAGACGTTCCAACTTTTGCTTCTTGGCTCTCAGCTCTTTCACCTTTTCTGCAATTTTAAGATTTTCTGCAATAGTTTTCTCAGACTGCCTGAATGCTTCTTCTCTTTTCTGCTTATGCACGGCCATAAAGGCACCCACTTGAAACCTCCTGTACTTCCTCACCCTTGGGCCACATTCTGCCATGGTTCTCTGTGGACATGGACAGGACCTTGGATATTGAGAGCTATGCCCATTTTGGTGTCTTTCTAAGTCTTTGAAGAGATTGTTCAAGCGTTGTTTTGATTCAAGTTGTAAAGCGGAACCAACATTTCCACACTTGCATTGACAAAATATTCGCCATTTACAAGACCCTTTCCGAGTCTTTGTAGGGGTTGTTTGAGAGTTTCTGCTAACAAATTGTTGTTTTCGAAGGCATCTTTTTCTATTTGTTCACTCTTAATATCTAAATCTTTATTCTCCAACTCATCATCTTCCAGAACTTTTTCACGACCCAAATGTGGTAAGAAAAAAAAAATTAGACGTGAGTGCGATCATGTAAACGTGAGATTCAGTTGTACTAAAACAATACCATTTTACTGTCAACTGGAAAACTACAGTGAGATTTATGAAGAAAAATAGCGACGTGAAATTTTTTTTGAAAAACAAAAAACAAAAGACGAAACATTGACATTCTGTGAAAGCTACAAAAGCAAAACTATGAAATTCTAATGACAACAAAAGAAAATAAATGAAGGCAAAGAATACAGCTGTAACAACTGGAAGTTAAGATGTGGAAAGGCAGCCTTAATTATATGGCTAGGATGTCCAAAAAAAATAAAACTACTTACTGGTGTTTGATACCAAAACAAGCAGCAGAAATTGATCTATCAAGATGGCTTCTCAGATCTCAACTACCACACACATGGGGACTTCTGGGAATGTCTAAAAATACCCTTTTAATTCGTACCCAGGTCTCTGAAAAAATAACCCGGTCCAATATGGCAACCAGTCACGTGTGCTAAGAGTGATTATGAATGGACTTGTGCTAAGAGTCTGGGAGGCTTCTACAGGTAAACCTGCAACTCTTCACTGACTTAGGTTTTACAGTGGACAAGCATTGAGATGCTGATAAACTAGATGCAATAAAAAGTAAGAGTGTATAAGTATTACAATTTGAAATTAATGACACAGGATGCTGTCGTCGCAGGATGTCTTGCAGTACCTGACTGAAATGTCGCACTGATTCAGATGTTGAATTTATGCTGTGTTGAAGTAATAGTAGACATTACTCTTTTATGAATTACATGCGGCATGCAGCATACATAAATCCGACCTGTGCTGAACTTCTATTGAACTCAGCCAAGTGAGTTGTTTATCGCATGACAAAAAACTAAATGTCTTTTGGGGTGAAAAAGTTCCTTCAAGAAGTCAAAGATATGCGCATTTCTCTTTTAAGCACCCACAATCGTCAGAACAATCCAGTGAGGTCTTCTTACAAGGACACCATCGTGTCACACATACCTTTGCAGGCAGAAATCTGTTCAAAGTTTTGTAGATCTGTTAAAAAATCTGTGGACACGCAGTGACGTGCACACCAGCTATTAAGTAGCAATTAAAGATCGAGAGGGGAAAACATTTAGGAGCATTAGCCTCAGTAAGCCTTACCTTTTAATAATATGTCTAAGAGCTTTTCACTCTTCTCTGTCAGCAGTGACACATGCTTTTCTGCTTGCTTCTTGTTATGTTGCTCCATCTCCCTAAAATTCCCAGCAAAATGGCATCCATGGACTTTACATTGTCACTGCCTCTCCTCACATACAAGCAGATGGGTTTGCAACTTCATCCTAAGAGTAAACGAAAAGTAAAACGTACATGAAGGTATCTACTAATGAGGAAAAGAGGTGGCAACTGTTCAGCTCAACTCATTTTTTTTATTTGTTTATTTCATTATTTGCTGTTGATTCTTGAAAGTGATAAGGATTATAATCAGACAAGCCAAATCGAGGATATTTTCCCAATAACACTGCGTTTGAGTCCCAAAGTAAACTTTTGGGGCTAAGTTTGGACCAGTTTTAATCTTGGAAGGAGGAGCAAATTGAAGGGAAGCTTTCCAAAGTTCAAGAGATTTATAAATTTAAAGATATTCTTAAAAATTATTTTCAGTAAGCTTTGAGTACATGTGGGAAAGATAAAGAAAACCTTGAACTCAGTGACAATTTTCAAAATTGTACATGCTAGTATGGTCTAACTGGGCTGAGCTTAAAAAATATAATACAAGAAACTGCATACCTACACCAGATGCTTTATTTTTACGCACGTAAAGAGAATTTCATTTTTAAGTTTGAAATGATAATCTACAACGCTTTGTGACCACACCCTCTTGGATGCTTTCTGCATCTTAGAGGGCAACGGATTTCTCCCCTTGGGCAAGTCTTCTTAAGATGAAATTCCTTGTTGGCCACAGTGGTATTCTGGTTGCATTGTTCACATGTGATGACTGCATAGAGACATTCATCCTTATGAGTTGGCTCATCCTTTCTTTTAATACTGTGTTGGCAAGCCCCATTCGAACAGGATATGAGGGCATCAGGGCAGGTGTGTCGTGCTACCACTTCGATGCTCGCCCTCTTGTAGCATGCTGTGCATTTTACCTCGATCTTCTCCACCAGCTTTTTCAGGGTGAAGTTTATCTACAGCTGTGTGGAACTCCATATGGGCTTTTTACAAAGGGGGCAATGGCTGGTAGTTGGGTTTTGTTGCACCCTGCTAATACACGTTTTGCAGAATGTGTGCCCGCAGTCAGGAAAAATAATTGGCTCCAGCATCAATGTATCACTAAAAGACATAGAGAACATGAATTTCGACTGCTCTGAGTTTTTGCAAGAGAATCAAAGGAATTCACATGAGCCAATTAGAGGACGCAAAGAAAAAAAGAAAACACAGAAATATGGGAAAATGCGACCAACTCATGAATAGGTTTAGTTTTGAATAGGGTTGGCTGAGACGATGGTGTGCATTTCATTTATGACAATTGCAAAGCGAATTTGGACCCAAAACAGTCCCAGATCCCAGATTACTTTTGAAACTTAATCGAAAAATTCCTCAAAAATCTATCTTTACCTGTACGAGGTTTAGGGGAGTGGCTGGAACTGACAGCGTCCTAAATTCCATAGATTTAAATTTTTATGGTTTTTTTTTTCCCGCGCTCAAGAGTCTAATCAAAAGACTAAATCTTTTTTTCACTGTTTCTTTGCTATCAGTGGGTTGGTTGCTGTACCAAAGAGAATTTTATGACATTCTGAGAAACCTGATATATATGCATGCATGAGTTCACACGTAAGCTTGCCTCACACTAGCCGCCACCAGCATGTAAATGCGAAACAATCAGCGTGGTGACATAACAATTTCATAAGTTGTTAAAGGTAAAACATTACTATCTAAAAGTTCACAGGTATCATTTTCGGTCCACACAGCTACCCAATATTCCCCTGGTTTGTCTGCAAGGTGGGTATTGACAATGTATGCTCTTGTAAAAGTAAGTTCCATTTTTATTTTGTCGATCAAACGTAGATTACATGTCTGGACCGGAAACAGTTAAAGGGTTTTTTTTTCGCGTTCCAAAAATAGTGTTTGTCAGGGTAATATTTTTTTCTGAGTTGGTTTTGCGCGCATACATACTTATCTTCCCTGTGCTCTTTCCCATTCCGTAGTCATCACGTATTAAGGAAGGCTAGTGCGGACATCGTAATGCACGTAGTTGTACGTAATTGTACAACTCTAGGTCGAGTTTTACCGTTCGATCTGTTACAGTCGCAACTTGCTGAATAATGTCGCCCAAAGTTATATCTACTTGTATGGGCCGAATATAAACTCGGCCCATGCCCAAACACCTAAGTTCGTCGGTATTGCACGACCCATACTTTACAACTTGTAACCTAGTGCGCGAGTTGTCTGCGCACAACAGCATTTCGAATCCGCCACAACTTTGTAATGGACGGAAGGCCCTGGAAATATAAACAAAAGAAATCGGTTTACAAACGGCTGGAGCTAAAAGACTAGGAGATCTTAAGCAAGCCAGTGGATTGAGAATTATGTAACTCACTTGTACAAAACCTCCTTGACCTGCTCCTTCGATGCATTCGTGGGGATCTGCAACTTTTTCTCTCCAAGGCCATTTTCTTTTAATAAAAGCTTCTCGCGGTTGGTTGGAACGGTGAGCTGGTCACGCCCAGCGAGACAAACAAAAGTTCTGGTAATGGTTTTTTCTGTTGAAAATTGTAGTGTTGTTTTAATAAGTTGTAATTGCTTTAAGTTGTAAACATTGCTTTTAATTAATATCCTGTTTTCATCCTCTAACAGATCAAAATGGAGTTGAGCAGTCATTTTTCCCTCAGAGAGAAGGTCAATACTGCATGCAAATTAACTTATGTATGATTTTAAAGATATTTGCAATGTTTGGGGTTACACTTAGTGGAAGGACTAGTGACAGACAAGTGCGCACCGAATTAAAAATGCATTTTCTCTCAACAGTACTCCAATTAGCCTATGAAACTACAGCCGCCGTAGGAAGATGTGAATGTTTACGCGAATTAGCTCGTGAGGAAGTTGATATTCCGATAACTTGCACAAGATCAGCCCCACTAAATGACAAAAAGGGGTGAGGAACATTGTTCTGATCCTTTGGACCCTGATCCATAAGTTTGCTCACCGTAACAAAAGAGACGTAAATCCTTCATCAGTCAGTGTAACCAGATTAATTCGAAGTAAATTTTCGCGGTGAAACGAGAAAGGGTTTTCACCAGCGAGCACGACAATACAATGACAATCCCTAAATCACATGGAAAATCAATACCATGATACCTTGTTACAATGCTAAACTGTGTGGTAACGCTAGACGCGTGACACGCGTGACAGAACAAACATTCATCAATACTGCTTCATTTCTAAGACATTTTAAAACCTCCTCAAAATGTTTTTAAACATAGGATGCTGTTGCTTTGTTCTTTTTCCGGCTGCAAGGAAAGTTCAAGTTAACAAGCTCAGAATACCTGGCTTGTAGGCCCTGGGACTAGTGTTCCAGAAGTCCTGATAACTTACGTAAAGCTATTTATTTTCTTATGCAGTCAATTTTTGGTGTTTATTAAAGCTTGAAAGTATAATACTTACTTGATTAAGAAGATGGGCTAGTTTATACGGGACTAAAATCTACAGCGCCACTTGAAAGAAAATGGACTCAAATAGTCGCTCTCGGAACCGATCTGTCTTCCGGGTTTTGAGAAACGCATCCGTGCCTACTACTTATTTTGAGAGAGCTAAGCTATAAATCGCAAGATTGTGCGTAAATTTCCGTGAAAATGACATTTATTGTTAGTTTCTTGGCCTCGTTGCTGTACTTTTACAAGAGATTCAATTTATCTTTCCAGACCGTGGCCAACACATCTCTTTCGGTATTGGGTCAATTACAAACTATCCAGGTCTTGCAAAAGGCCCTTCGTATGTAGAGAAAAATCTGTGATCATCAGTTACCTCTATTTTCTGGGACTCTCTGTGCTCTATGGGAGGAACTGGTTACGCGGTTCTGCCGCCTGCTCGCGTAAGGGTGGACCCTCTGTAAGTGGCAAAAATATTATTAGAGAAAATGCCTCTGTTAATGCCTTTCTTGCAGGACTCAATAAAAGCAGATTACATTTCTGAATTTTATGAGAAGTTGATCGTATGGAATACATACTATCAAGTGAAAATGAAATGCATCGGCGCGGGTAAAGTTTCCGCAAATGAAAGAGAAAAGTCGCTCCTAACGGGCGAAGGACACTTTTGCATACGGGTGTAGAAAAAGAAAAATACGCAATAGCGTAGGAAAATTGATTCATAAGCCAGACAGGACGGTTCCTCTGAGAACGAGAAAGCTCGAAAGCCTTTAAGATTGATTTAATGTTCAAGCATGCCAAACAGAGTTACCTGTATGGTAGACGTTTTCATTTTTGTTTAAAATAATGTAAAAAAGGTCTACGGTCTAAAGAGCACAACAACTCGACGCCAGAGATCTCGTCCGTGCAGAGACATTTTTACTGACGTACATCGCTTGCCGCACGACCCTCTCGAAGCTACACGTATGCTCAAGTGTGGTACAAAGTGTTAGCGAGTGTGGTAGAAGCGTGGACGTAGCGCATTGCAGCGCATTGAACCTCTGATGGGAGAAATAAGAAGCCATGAATTACCAGTTGTCGATTGAACAACCTGCGGTGCTCGTCAACAACTGAGCTAGATGGGCCCGTCACCGGGATGTTCGTCGATGGTGTGCTGTGTGTATTCCCATCGCTTATCATCTGGGCTGCTCGCTGTAGCAACTCAGCAACAGTGGTGTTGACATTCGAATTGTTCAGAAATTCAAGATAATTTTAAATAAGGTAAATCGGCAAAATTTGTCTCAAATATTCAAGCTTAACTTTAGAACTTAGCTTAACATTCCTTTAAGGGGAGGGCTGAAATGAACACAATTTTTAGGAGTCTTGGCAGATAGCCTATTGATGCGGCGGTATCGGACACAGCCATGTAGACAAATGTCTTCCCCCAGGGGGAGGGGTATAGGTGTGCAGCAAAGGATTTCAAACCCTGACCTATTCATACCCGGACAAGTTAAGATCCTGTTCAAAACAGAGAGGCCAGAGAACAATACCCTGTCCAGCGGCAAGTATACGCCACATAAGGGAGTAACCCCTCCCCCGGGCACTCTTCCAAGCGAAAATTTTTACTTTACCACTAATTTCATCATCTAACACTTAAATGCTTTTTGAAACCTTACGCAGATACAACTTTTAGGTTACAGCGTAAGTAAACAATCATATCAACTGGAAGAAAGCTCCTCCCGTAAGCGCAAAGTTTGTGTCTTTTAAAATTCAAGCTCTTACTCGCTTTTTCAATCGTTTTAAGAATGTACATTTCAAATGGTTTTGTGAGTGCGGTAAAGGGCATTTTCATGACTCGTGATCAGCCTTTGTTTTCCCCGTGAAATATGAAACTTTTTGTCGTAAAGCGTGATTTTGTAAAATTATTTTCTGTGAAACGGCAAATGAATGTTTAATTTGCTGTAAATCGTGAGTTTAAGGTTACTTCCTACCTTCAGAGACCTAAAAAATCGATTTTTATGTTATTTGACAAAACTGAATTCAAACATTCCATCAAATGTTTCCATGGTAAAAATATCGGATATCTTTAAAAGCACCTGAGCTATGTAGAAAAACGTATTTTCAAATAAAAGTTAATAAATCAGGAAAGTGTCATTATCTCGGACCTGGGTGAGTTCCCTCAAGTAAGGAACAAAATTATTTTGTGAAAGCGATTAGTACTAATGGAGCTTCACGCTGGCGCCCAGATTTCGAAACAAGAGAAAGCCAGCTAACCAACTTTTGCCATATATGATGTTAAAAACAAAGTTTCCTTTTTTTTTAATGCAAGTACTAGTCTTGATACAAAAACATTAAAAATCGCCTCGACTCGTAATTTTGTATGTCGATTCGTTGTCTTGCCCCTCAGCTTTGCAGTTTTTTAATTTTTGCAGCGGGTTTTTCCTTTGCCTTTGACCACTTTGCTCATTATTGTGTTGTCCTCCTCAACGCTCCACTGAGCAATCGAGATAAAAAAAGAAAAAAAAGTGTGCAATGGGTTACTTTTACCGCGAAATCTTGATCCATAGTAATTGACGCCAGGAGGTCCCGTTGTCGTATTGGTTTGCAGTTTCCTTGGGCCAGATAATCTCCTGGCGTGGCGCGAGTTGTTTGTGAACCTTTACGAGCTAAAATCTGGCATTTGATTCTAGGAGGAATACCACTACTTTGAGCGAATTTATAGGGTATATAGATTTGACCGATTTTCGTCACATTTCGCTAAAACATCCCAGGAATAATGACAAACGAAGATGTGTCGGGAAATTTTGATATTTGAAATATTTGTCCTGTGGCGTCCATTTACGCAACACGATTCGCATATTTTTAGCTACTCCAACTAAAGATCAACACAACCAATCAGAATATTGCTGACACACTTTTGTTAATTGATGCCTTGTGAATGAAACTGTGCAGCCATTTTGCTCATGATGCAGCATCCGATACCCAATGAATTCAATAGAAGAACCTTCGGTCGTTTCACGCCTTACCGGCTCTTGACACTTCCTCAAAAGAAAGTCGCTTAAATTATATTTTTATCGTAATCTGCAGTTATTAAGCTTTCTTCTGATAGATATAGTTTGCTAGGATTTTTGTGAAACCAGCGCGCGAACGAATTTTTCCTTAAGGATAACCGCGAAGGTGGGAAGTAATTTTAAGTATGTCTTAGATATATTTTCAACACATTTTCCCTTTACCACCCTCTTTTATGTCTGAAAGTTTTCTTACTAATTTTATGGCAGACCTGCCTCATCAAGGAGGGTATGTATGTGCTCAAAACCAACTCGGAAAAAAGGTTCCTTTGGCACACACTACATGTTTGATTGAAGAATGTCAAAACAGATCAAGGATATCAGTTTCCTTACCATGGCGTCCAGGGCACACACAAAATCCAACTTCTCACGTACTCCTGCAATTTTCAAAGAGCCGTTGAGGTTAAACTCCCTTTGAAAAGTAAGCGGGAGTCAGAAAAGAAAAGAAATGAGAGCTCGGCAATCGACATTTAATGCATATCATAACACTACTTAATACTATTAAAATTCAGGCTCACCAACATGTGCAAACTGTGGTAAACCGGGAGGCCGGTAAACCGTGGTAGAATCCAGTCTCGCTATTTTAATTAACACTATCATGAACGAAAACGAATAAATGCAATATCGGCGGGGAAAAAAAGAGGAGAAACTTACCAAATTGGCTCTGCTTTACCGCAAGGCAAAGTGAAGACTATTCCATACTGCGGCTACGCCATGTACTGGTTTCGTGTCAGTCTTCACATTCGATGACGTCATGCCCCCAGCAGATCGCTGTTCCATTTGCAGTTTGTATTTTTGCATGATGCCTTGGCGGCCGTCACCACCAAAAATACAAGGATGTCGTATAGATCAGCAAATACAAAGATGGCTTAAGGATCAGTTGTAGGATAGCATAGCTAATAAAGGAGTGGCATGGCCTTCACGTCACGCCACGACGATTCGCCACAACATCAAAATATTTCAAGTAATACTAAGCAATTTAATGTTCAGATAGAGCGTCTGATGTTTTGCAAAGCTATTCGACCTAACGCTACACTATTTGTGTCTACGCTGTACCATTCTACATTACGCTGAACCATTTCATGCAATGCTACACCATTTGTGTGTACGCTGTACCATTCGACATTATGCTAAGCCACTTCACGCAACGCTACACTGTTTGCATGTACGCTGCACCATTCGACATAACGCTAAGCCATTTCATGCAACGCTACACTGTTTGTATGTACGCTGTACCATTCTACATTACCCTGAGCCATTTCACACAACGTTACACTGTTTTTATGTACGCTGTACCATTCGACATTACGCTGAGCCATTTCCCACAGCGCTACACCATATGTGTGTACACTGTACCATTCTACATTACGCTGAGCCGTTTAACGCAATGCTACACCGTTTGAGTACTGTATTGCAAATGAGTGCTAAGCTATTTGTAATTGAGCTAGTCCATTTCACAATCTCATGTTCCAACTCAACATGGGCTACTAGACCGTTTCCCATTTGGCTAAACTATTCATGTTTAGGGTGTTCTGTTTCACTAAGAAAAACAAGACTGTCTATAATTTGGCCATGCCATTCCTTTATTAGCTATGCTATCCTGCAACTGATTCTTAAGCCATCTATGTATTTGCTGATCTATTTGACATTCTTGTATTTTTGGTGGTGACGGCCGCCCATAGAGTGAAGTTCCCTTTCACACGTGGTAACCCCGCCTAAAATTGACAAGCTGTAACGCGTAATGCAACATGTAACACAACACACAAACTTGTTTAGATAAAAAATCCTGGAAAAATAAGCTTAAATTGACATACATTAAATGAATAAAAAACTTCACTGACCCCATTCCTCCAAACTGAGTGATATTGATCACTGCTTGCCA